CCCTACCACGAGGAGTGGGGGGCAATTGATGACGAGTAATTTGGCATGACCTAGTAAATAAAGGTCACGTCAATGCAATCTGCATGTAGGATGACAACTCAGCAAGGGGGGACTAGTCAGTGGTATGTGAAGCTCGGCGTAAAGTCACTTCTTCATAAGGTCACCTCGGCGGCTACTCAAGTTCGGGGCCCAGGAACCGAAGTGACACGTAATAAATCCCAATAGCTTTCCAGTAGACTTCGAATATTGCAAAATCATACCGCATAACGGCAAGCCTTATCTTCTCGCTGTCCGAATTTTGAAGCAATAATGAAGTTCATTGACTGATACGTTACTCCCCGACTAAAGCTGAAATGAATCTCGTCCATTCAGGCCACAGATCTCGGAACTGTTCTGGGAAACCCGCAATAACTTAGCTATACAAAAGCATTAACCCCTCCATGGTCCATGTATGCACGATTACTTGCATCCAATCTCTCTAGCACTCAGATTCTTGCTCGCAATCACGACATGGTACTGACTTAAGCATCGGAGCGACCTCGCCGGGTTAACTGCCCCGGGTGCTCTAATCCTCTGTCTTGCAGCTTGGTCTAGATCGCTACATGACTAAGGTCCAGGTCATCCCCTAGCGAGGAGCTTCCAGATCGCGCATCATCAGATCTCGCACAAAGTTGTGGGGTTGTTGTTTTCTTCGTCTATGAAGGCAACGCAGACGAGATGCCATTGTACCGCAGGGGGAGGGGTGGAGGGCTTCTGTGTTGATTCAATTGGTTTGATTGAGCTGTTTCTAAGAAACTACTTAAGATAGTCTTACTAGAAAGTTAACTTTTTTGGCTCATGCCTCATGTAAACCAATTTTTGACTTTGGAGTTTTTTATCAAATATGGATATAGGTTTTGTTCGGTTATGGTTGAGCTGACCATGGATGCCATGTGTTGTTTATGTGGTTGCCTTATCTCTTTGGCTCTGTCAATGTCGCATCACCTTTGCAGCCAAGCTTATCTCCTCGGCCATGCCAACACCGTGCCATGTGGATAAGCACGACCAAGACAGGAGATCATCACGCAGATGGTTATATAATTCCATTGGAGATTAGGTCTTATCTCGAAGACCTCGGCGGTTAACCTCATCCTGACAACTCCAGAAGCCTCATCCGATCAGGACACTAATCATCGGCTATAAAAAGGTACGTCTCGCTCAAGGTAAAAGATCCAACTTTTGACTCCCATACTGTTATTCTACTTGAACCAGCATCGTTCTCTAACTGCTCGGCCCGACCGCCCGTTATTTTCTACTGACTTGAATGTCGAAGTATCTACCCGAGGATAACTCCTTAGGATTCTGACCTTTTCTTGGTTTCAAATCTCATTGCGCAGTTTCATCCTTCCACCTCGGCTCCACCCATTTGGCAAGAATTATCTAACTACGACCTCAGTTCAAGCAATACCTTGGAACAAGCAGCATCAAGTTTCTCAACTCATATAACACCAACTAGAGCAGCCATTGGCCACTTAGAGCTCAAGAAAAAGACTAACAGAGAATACAAATATGTAGAGTGTAAAATCTTGTATTTTGTATCATTTTTGCATGTATTTACACTCTATATTTGTATTTGTACTCTTTTCAAACTGAGCCTTAACAGCCCCACCTCTATTGAGTTTAACTCCAACTGCTAGGAGGGGATTTCCAAAACCAATATAGACATCCTAGAATCACTTGATCAAGTTTTGGCATCAGTTTGTAAGAAAAATGTATGGGATTTACAAATATTACTCCATGTCTCATGCAAATAAAATTGTTTTCCTTGTAAACACATAGTATAACAGGGCAAAGATAAACGAGCTTGGTCCATAGTTTTCATTGAAGAGGTAAGCCATTCATGAAAGCTTAATATAACCTGCCCCGGTTGCATCTCTAATCTTTCTATATCATATTCAATTAAATCAAGCACTAAGCCGTCTTAGCTCAGCTGGTAGAGCGCGTGGCTTTTAACCACGTGGTCGTGGGTTCGATTCCCACAGACGGCGTTTTGTAATTGATATGGCAGTTCTTTTTCGTTTTCAAAAACAAACGGACTGTGCAAGTGGAACACTCCTTGAGCAAGCCATTTTACAAGTTATCCCTTCTGTTTCTTAAACATTATCTTCTTTCCTAGGCTCTTCCTATGCGTTGTAATCTGTATCAAACGTAGTGTGAAAAACCTCATTTTCAGTTCTACAGTTCTACTCCACTCCCTATTCCCAAGATTCCAGGTTGGCCAGAGTCTATAAAGTATAAACTGCTTAAATAG